GTCTGTTTGTTTGTTTGTTCGTTCGTCTGTTTGTTTGTTTGTTTGTTTGTGTGTTTGTTTGTTTGTTTGTTTGTTTGTTTGTTTGTTTGTGTGTGTGTGTGCGCGTGCGTGCGCGTTTGCCTCTGTCTCTGTGTTTGTGTGCGCATGTGCATGTGTCTTTGTCTATGCGTGTGTGCGTTTGTGGGTGTATGCTTCTGCGTGTGTGTCTCTGTGTGTGTGTGTGTGCGCAGTATGTGTGCGTGTCTAGATATGCTTGGGATCCCTCCCCCCCTTCCCCCCCACCTTCTTAGAGAGTCCTTCATCCACCCTTGACTTTCGATTCGCATACTTGCTTTGCAACTGCATAACATGTGGCGCGAAATCACCAGGCTGGAATTCCCATACCGGGTCGTCCACAGTTGGAGGCCGCACGCCAATAAAAGGTAAAGTGATCACCATCCACAATTTCCTGAACAGTGTCTTCGAGAGTCCGTCCGCAGCCGAAATACCTGCAAACATGTAGTTGCAGGTTCGCTATGTTTTCTATATCAACCAGACCTCGGTACCTTTCGACTAAGCCCTCTGAGCGCATGTGGACACGCACGCACGGAGCTACCAGTTGCTACTGACTGCAGGGTAACACCGCTTGCAGTTTTTTCTGGCGGAAGGGGGTCCCGAGCGTGCGCCGCCTCCCCCAGAGCCCGATAGAGTTTTCCCCCAGTGCTGTGGGCGGGAGACGCGGGACAGGCGCGGGAGGAGGAGGAGGAGGAGCAGGAGCGCGGACGGGATGGCCTCTAAGAGAACAAATAACCCGATAGCGATGTGGGGAACAACCTTCATCCGAAATGCCTGAGGTGCTTAGGTACCGTGCTCGAACGGCCCCGCACACCCTATGCAAGGCTAGAGTTTCAAACCCGAAACACTGAAAGCCAGAAGATTGCCATAGGGGTCGGTGCATACATGTACAACAATCTACACCCAGACCCTATTCTAACTTCCAAGGCCCCCATATCAGGACCCCATACATTAAGTCCGCCTGAAAACCAACGCTTAAACCACAAGCCTTAAATCCTCAGGCCAAGAATAAAAGAACAGGTCAAGTACAGCAGCCTCTTGGCGGAGCTGCGGGAGAAGAGCCGGCAGTTCCTGCGGGACAGAACCCTCTTCAGGCCTACAGAGTTTCGTGGTTTCTGTTTAGAGCTTGGTTGGGGATTTGGTGAGGGTTTGTGCGAAAGGCTTAGGGTTTGGTCTGGTTGGAGACCAATTTTATATAATTTTATTTCAGCTTTAGTAGGGCAGTCTGCGGCAGATTTTGCAGATTTTCACAGAGATGGGGTAGGTGAAGGTGCATGGACATCTGGCGGATGCCAGCGCTATTATTGGACATCGGTTACGGCCCAAGGGAGATTTCAGAGATTTCCTTGACAGGGTAACAAACGGGAGAGCATGTGCAACCCCTGCCTGAACAGCGGAAGAATTTGCAGGCAAAGCTCTCCGCCCATGCCTCGCATAGTATTTGTGTCGGGTTTCAGGGTTATTCTTCCTTTCGCTGCTGGCTCGCAGGATCGCCCTTGGTTTCAGGTGTGCGCCACAGGTGAAGCTGAGTGTTGGGTTCTCAGGCTGAAAGCTTGCAGGGGTTTGTGGATGTGGGGGATGCAGGGTTCTAGGCTAGACGGTGGGGCCTGGGTTAGATTCTTCTCCAGCCATACCATTCGAAATGATTCCTAAATGCCCTCGGATTTTGCATGTGCATTTTTGTATCGCAAGAGCTAACCTCAGCTAAACCCCAAACCCCGAAGCCTCAATCAACCTAAAACCCATACTCGACCCTGCACCCTGTATAACGCTAAAGCCTAAAAATGAAGCCCTGAAACCGACAGAAATCCGTAAAGCCCTAAACTCAGCCCTATGCCCGAATCCCCGCAAGGGAGAGACTTCGGATGCTGCGCGCGCATGCCCTTGCCACGGAGGATGCAGAGCTTCTCCAGCAGCCCGGCCGGGCGTTAGCCTACATCCAGAGCATCATCGTATCATGACAGGACTAGACTATGATGGTGTCATAGTGCCATACCACTATCATACCTCAAAGGCTCTTTTGCAAGCAGCCCTAGTATGTACAACTGTACAACCATTTTCCTCCCTGACGGGGTTTCAGAGTTTGGGAGCCGTTAACTCTGCTTTTGCCAGGAGGTTTTGGGATCCGCTTGTCTTGATTGGGGAGTGATCGAGGACCCCAACCCTAAACCCGAGACGGGTTCGGAGGGCATGTGACGTGGGCTGAACAGAGCCTTTGGAGTGCAGGGACATACAAGGGCCCCCGGCTGTGAGGAGTCTTCCTCAGATTAGTGTTCTGCATGGTTCTCCAAGGTGCGGTAGCCCTGGCCTGTGCTTTGTCCCTCCGACCTGTGCTGTGACCAATGAGCCACCCCTCTTTCCCGAACCAGCCTCGCCTGCATCGTCCGAGTCGCGAAACTCTTCTCGGGACCCGAGGTCGATTTAGGCAGCCTTAAGATCTGAATGCCCGTAGCTCTTGGGTTAAACCCTCAACCTGAAGGCGTTTTCCTTAACCCCTCTACCCCCCAAAAAACTTGTCGGACTGCACATGGCCAAGCTTTAGGTTACCAGTGACTCCGGAGATTTTGCAGGTTTTCGCATGCTTTAGTATGCGAGGGGCATGAGGGGTGGGGTGGGGTGGGGTGGGGGTGCCTGATGACGTACTGTTTAAGAGCACATCCTTTTTACTTGGTATTTGCAGTACTTCCTTCCCTGATCTTGTAGTCCAATACCGACGATGATGATGACGGGTTTAGGCGCCAGTACTCCACTGTCCGCCCAGGCGAATAAGTGTGAGATCGTCATCCACGCAAAGTTCCCTCAACGCTTGCGTCACAATGTGCCCAAAACCACTGTAAAACTCACAAAATGCCCCATTCCAAGTGACCCCTCTCGAAGATCGTGCTCTCCCTTACAACTCGCTCTGTTGCCAAGTTTTACGTCTGCCAGGGTTGCGCCTTCAGGCTTTCATTCTGAGGGGCTTGGGGCTGTGGGCAAACCCTGAGTGGTATCCCACCCCACCGAAAGGCTACTTCAGCACGATGTGCAGTTCTACCAAGAGGGGGCGAAGCAAGAGAAAACCGCCGAAGACTTCAAGGACGGTCCTGGATTGTGCAGGAAGCCGTGAGGAGGCATGCTATTCCTGGATATTGTCGTAGCATGAGAGATGCCAGCATCCCAGTCTAAGCATGATCAAGCCGCATGCCGAACCGAAAGTGCAACTCATCTCCCCCCTCTTTTCGGAAAGATAGACAAGATAGATAGACAGATAGACATAGGCATAGACATAGATGTAGATATAGACATGTAAATAGACATATAGATAGATGCAGATAGGTATATATATATATGGGTATATAGAGAGAGAGAGAGAGAGATATAGATATAGATACAGATATATATATATATATATGTACAGACGTAGGGCAGATCTAGACAGATTTAGATAGCTATAGACAATTATGAACGGATATAGATAGATGTAGATAGATATAGACAGAGACAGCTTCATAGGTATAGGCAGAGGGATAGATGGATAGATACATAGTTATTGAGAGATAGACGGAGATAGAGATAGAGACAGAGAGATAGAGATTGAGATAGAGATAGGGATTGAGATAGAGATAGGGATTGAGATAGAGACAGGGATAGAGATAGAGACAGGGATTGAGATAGAGACAGGGACAGAGGGATAGAGACAGGGATAGAGATAGATAGACGATAGAGTCAGTGTTAGGGCGCCTACAAACTTCGGGGGCTGGAGGTGCCCAGGTGACCGGTCTCCTCAGGGTTGGGGGCTCTGTAGGATTCTGCGGGGCTTTGAGGTTTTGGTTCAGAGTTTGTGGATGCGGAGAGACTTGAGGACACTGCCATTTCGGCTGTGAGGGGTTTCTAGGTGGGGGGTTTAAGGGCTAGGTTTCGAGAAGTTTTGGCTCTAGTCTTCAGGTTTGCGCGCTTTGGTTTTGTCTTCCAGCCCGTTCCGCCACTGCACTCGCGTCTCCAAGGCAAAAAAGCACCCGCAAGTTAAGCCATACTTCTTCAACGTAGCTACAGTAACTGGAGCAACTACAGCCTCGGAGTTCAAGGGTTTAGGGTTTAGGGCTTAGGGTTAAGGGTTTAGGATTTAGGGCAACATGAAACCCTGCAGGAGGAATACGAGAAGAAGCTGGCTGATCAAGAGATGGTGTGGAAGGAGGTGATGAAGGCAGGATACCGGGTACTAACTGGCTCCTCCCGTCTTTTCCAGCGTTCTAAGGGTTGATGGAAGGTTTTTGTGGGTTGATACAGTGGCCTTAATAATTACCTGTACTATTTTGGGGGTTCCTTATTTATAACCAAAGTATAAGGCAGCCCAAAAACCCTATTCTAATTATCAAGGCCCCTACATTCGGCTTGCGCGACGTCGGCATGTTTCGGTGCTTTACACAGCTTTAATGTCGACGCCCAGGGCCCAAAAGCCATGGGGAGCAATGGCCTTCCAAGCCTAAAGTCGAGGGCCCTAACCGTAAGCACTCAACCCTACACCATGAGTTTAGGGTTTAGGGCTTAGGGATTAGCTAGATCTCCGGGTTCAATTTTAAAGGGATCCTAGCTCACAGCCCCGACAGCAAGAGGAGAAGGACTACGAAATGGAGTGCGTCCGGCAGGAGATGGACCGTTTGAAGGCCTTGCAACTTTCTGTTCTATTTGCTTACTTTCTCACGCGAAGTTCCTCCGGCCCATAGCCCGGTGAACGTCTAATTAGTCCAGCTACAGGTCTTAAAAGCCTTAGAAAGCAAGCCTTGAAAGCCGTCAAAAATCCTTATCAACCTACCCCAAACCCCAAACCAAGACCCGAAACCCCAAACTAACCAATGTGATTGTCCGAGTTGTGAGTGCCGAAAAGCCCAAGCCGACACCCCACCTCAGGCGCGTTTCCGGGCTCTCGGAAACTGGAGTTACAGGCTACAAGTTCTAGTAGAGTTATAAGTACATGCCGGGTTTCGGGTTCAGGTTTGCATGTAATGAGGAGTGTCATAAGTATAGTTACATGCGCCTTAGGGTTAGGTTAGGGGTTTGGGGACCTTACTTCGGTTTTTGGCCTCCGGGTTATATACTGCCATGCAACCATAGTTTTCGCAGCAAAGCGGGCTTTGTCAACATCACTTGGCAAGTACGCCGGTTGTAGGGCAGGATGCCGAGGGCCTGGCAGCACTGTTTGTGGGGATACCCTGACTTCCCCCTTGTTATTATCATTATTATCATTATTATTGTTGTTATTATTATTATTATTATTACTACTACTACTATTATTATGATGTTGTTTTCTGACTGTACATTTGTCGGTGTCTGGCTTGTGCTGTAGTGAGTGCGACCGGGCAATGAGCCTGGTGCGAGAGTTGGGGCGAAAGCCTCGTCCCCTACGCCCGAATGTGCCTCACAGGCTCGAAACTCAGGCCTCACCTTGGAATCTTGGAGACCTGAACCGTGAGCAGGCCCTAGATCGAAAATGGCTTAAGATCCGGGCAGGAAACAAACGCTGAGCTGAGGGACAGGCGCGTGTCAGACAAGCTCCTTTGGCACGCATCTTTGTGGGTGCCTTCAAAAGCAAGTTTTCAGTTCTTTAACACAGGAGGAGGCCAGAATGGCTAGAAAGGAACAAATGAAGACTTTGATGAAAGGTGCTAAAAGAAGTGCAAGATTGAACGGTGCAGGGGCTACCGGGGGCTTAGTGAGGCTCGATGTGTCTGCTGATATCCGGAACTTAGCCCTGAATTTTACACCCCAAGCCCTGCATCCTTAACTAGGTGGCACTTTGGGAAACTTTTTAATGTCCCTTTATGGTTACTATAGAGGGGCACCTATCCATAAATACCTTTTAAGGGCCCCAAAACTACAACTCCGTTAAGCTTCTTCCATCGAAGATTGAAGGGCATCGGGCGCTTGGCGTCAGGTCCGGGGCCTTGCAGAAGAAGTTGGAGAAGGCGGAGTCGATCCTTGTCGGATGGAGAGGGATTTTAGGATTTAAGTCCTTTGGGTTTCCTATTCGCGAGGGCCATTTTGGGGCTTCAGGCTTTGGCTTTTGGGATTGGAGGTTCTGAAACACTAGATTGGTATATCCGCAATGGTAATGTGCAGCAACCCCAAAGTGTCAAAAAAAACCCTCGAAGCCGGGCCTCGGGTCCGAAGTTGGGTTTAGGGCCTTCGTGGTTTGATGAAGCTCAGTGTACGTCCTACTCTATTTTTTCCGGGCTGCCAGCTACTCCCATCCTAGGATCGTGGAAGAGGCGGAGGAGGAGCTGCGACGGTCTCAGGACGGCCCTCCAGAGTGAGTAGTTTTTTGTGCGGCGCTCCGCTTACAATTGCATCTCGAGCTCCCTCATGCCAGTCCTTCACGACGGGAGTTGTTTCATCTAGACTTCACCGGGCGGAACCCGAAACCCAAAGCCCTAAAGGAGGAAGCTCGGAAGTGGAAGGGCGAGCACGGCGCCCTGCAGAAGCAGCTGATGGCCGCTCAGGCGGCCAAGGGCGAGCGAGAGGCCGAGCTCCAGGTGCAAACGGAGGCAGCGCAGCAGCAGCAGGAGATGGGGGATATCATTCTAGAGCTGAGATTGTTGTTGCCAATATTCTCATTGGTATTACTGGTATTCTTCTGAGTATTATTGGCATCAGCATCACCATGATTATCTTCGTCTTTTTTTCATTTCACCACTATCATTATCATCTTTCTTTTTCGTCTGCTTTTTTCGTTTCATCAGCAAGACAGGAGAAGTTGGAGAGCCTCCAGAGCCAGCTCGCCTCGACGGAAGCCGCAGCCAGGAGGGCGGAGTCCGCAGAGCAGCGCTTGCAGAAGGAGCTTTATCAAGCCTTGCAAGCCAAGAAGAAGCCACGGCTTGTGAGGGAGTTTAGGACCCACATCAGCATCCCGCCCGATGGCCGACTCGAGCGAGCAGAGCAGGAGGCAAGGCGCCTCACAACGGAGGTTGCCGGCTTGGCCGCCGCCCTCGCGGATGCCAAGGCAGAGGTGAGCCGCCTGCAGGAAGTGATGCTCGAGAGCGACAGTGAGCTGCTCGAGAGGAGGCAGGAGGCCGAAGCACTGGCGGCGCAGTTGCGCGACGCCCGGCATGCCTGCGAGCTGGAATCCCAAAAGTCACAGGAGGCCGCTCGCCAGTTGGAGGCCGAGAAGCAGCGGAGCAGGGAGCGCCTGAGCGAGATCCGGGCTTTGGAGCAGAAGCACGAAGCCGCGCAGCAGCAGGCTGCAGCAGACCTCGAGCAAGCGGAGGCCCGGGCCCAGGAGGCCGAGGCGCGGAGCGAAAGCAAGCGCGCGCAGGAGGCCGAGGCCCAGAGGGAAAGCTCCGAAGTGCAGGCGCTGGCGGCCCTGGCCAGGAGAAGGGATGTAGTGAACCAACTCCAGCAGACCGAGGAGAGCGAGGAGAGGGAGGAGATTGAGAGGCTGAGGAAGGAGCTCCAATGTCTCAAGAGCCGGGAGTCTGAGTTGCTGCGACAACTGGACGAGACCTTGGCTCAAAACAGCATCACCTCCGAGGACAAGCAGTGTCAGACCGACGTCTTGCAAGAGAAGGCGCCGCTGAAGAGCCCAGAGCCTGCTGGAAAGCAGGATCCTGCCTCCAAGATGGGGGAGTTGCCGCGCCAAGGAACCGGAGGTCCCTGCCTAGACCCAGACGCCCCTTTGGGGAACGATGAGATGGTGGATTACCCGCGAGTTCTCGCAATGGGGGGTGGCTGGTTACAGGGGGTGAGCCTGAGCTGGCGTGGGAAGTTGCGACACTTTTCCAAGCAGACCCAGACGAGCCGCTCGCCGAGTGCAGGTTCTCCGGGAAGGACCCCAAAGCAACGGACACGTTCGCCCGACCGTGAGCGGCACATGCCTTTCGAACTGACCGCTGAGGGTCTCTCACGTGGCCGCTCCCCACAGCCGCAGCCCTTCCCCAAGACGGCCAAGGTGCTTCTACCTTTGACAGCCAAAGCTAAGCGCAGTACCGTCTGCCGTTCCCCGCCTCGGCTGCACCCCAACAACCCGAACGTCAAGGCAGAGGCCCAGCGGCAGGCGCAAGCCCAGACCCGGCCGTCCCGATCGCCGGAATCCCGAGAGAAGGCCTCCAACCGAGTGCCGGACGTAGAGCGACCCCGCAAGGCCTGGCACTTGGCATGTAAGGCCATTCTTGCTTGTGGCAGTGGTGGTTTCCAAAGAATCTGGGGATCTCCCAGGAAGCTATGGCTAGAGTCGAGGGTTTTTTTGGGTTTAAGGAGCCGCGAACCTGCCAGGCTCGTGCCAGCTCGCCCCACAACCCTGCGGCAGGGCACCCTCTGGGCGGCCCAGACCCCGACTCTGTGGGACCGGCTCGGGGTCTACCAGGGGTTTGAGGCTTCACGAGGTGACGCTTAAAGCCCAGCTGCAAAAAGGGCTTCGTGATTCAAGGGTTTGGGGCTTGGGGGTGGTTTCGGTCCAGGTGGGGAGGCTGGATATTTAGCCAAGTGCGTGGAGTTGCCCGTGCAGTCTTGAGTGACCTGTCGATGGCCTCGGAGCAAAAAACGAGACTCGCAGAAAAAAGCCTGCAAAATCGCAGGAGTCACTCGAGGGGATGTTAGAGACCCTGAAACTCGCCTGGCTTGTCCGAGTTGTGAGAGCGTAAATGCTGGAGACCCTGCTGCATCCAGGCAGGGGAGGCCAATTCCAAAGCCCAGGCCGCCCAAACCAACAAAGGCCACACACGAAGAAGGCAAACCCTGTAACGCCCACTGGACCCTACCCTACACCCTGAGCCCCCTAAACCCCCTAAACCAAACATGACCCTTAACCCTAAACCCTAAACCCCCTAAACCCTAAACATTGAAAGCACCGCAAACAAACGTAGCAAGCAGGACCACCCGGGCTCGAGAGCCAATCCTCCGGGGAGCCGAACTGCTTGGGATCAGGAGCCGACACAAAGCTTCCGAATGCTCTTGTTTTCTCCCTAAACCCTAGGCCCTTGCAGGGTTGGGTTTTGAGGGTCTGGCCTTTAGTTGTTGGTTTATTCGATTCTTATAGGGGTTTAGAGTTTAGGGTTAGGTTGGAGCGGAAAGCCTGTTGCAAAAAGGTTGGGTTTAAGGACGTAGGGTATGGGGACTGGCTTAGGATTTTGGGGTGGGTTCAGGTTTTACAGTTGGGTTTGCATAGGGGTTCGTATAGTATGATATGGGGCTTAGAGACGTTTAGCTGTTTAGCTTAGTGTTTGGGAATTCCGCAGCGGCTCAACATTCGAAAGTGTTTACGTGCATCTGCTGATAAGAAATGCCAGCTTCCAGCGTTGGGTACCCTTCGTTTCTTAGCTTGCTTCCAGGTTCACATTTCCAAATTTCTCTGCTCGCGAATCTCTGGGTACCCTTCATGTCTTAACCATTTCTTATTGTAGCAGGGGCTCGAGCCCATGGAAGTCCATCAACTGAGCTGAACGCCGTAACCATAAAGCCAACAGACACCCCCCCAAGACAGTGTTACAGACACTTGAGTCTTTAGTGTCCAGATGCAACTGCCAGAAATGGGCCTGGCTCTGTAGTGAGCCGCGCTGCCCTGTGCCCTGGGCTTAGGGCTTGGAAACCACCCAAAAAAGCAACGTAGCCCCCTACACTTATTGTGGCCTCTGCCCCATGTCCTGCGGATTAGGACCGGGAAACCCCCTAAAACATGATCCCCAAACGTTGGGTACCCTTCATTTCTTATGTTGGTGCTATCCGGCTGACGTAGTCCCTTCTACATTTCTTATACAATCGTGTCTTGTACAGTGATTGCCCTGTATTCCCGAGCCTATCTTCCAGTCTCTTTAAGTCTCTCCTATTTCTGTTCCATTCTATTCTCTTCAGTTTTCTTCACTCCTGCTCTGTTCTGTTTTGTCTTGTTCCTTGTATTCCCTTCAAGCCCAGTGTGCTCTTTTATCTATTGTGTCAGGCTATGTTTCCATTTTAAACTGCATGTTAAAACATTACGGAAAGGTTAGAAAGCTTGTTTGTATTATAGTCTTCTGACATCAAAGACTGCCGCGGACGCCGGCCTACATATGGCTACCACAACATGCGGCAGCGCGCACGCACACAACGTCTTCGGTTTGATGTATGTCGGATAGAGGGATAGTTGCAGACAGTGCACCAAGCTCGACCAATGAAGCACATGTTTCAGCACAGAACACATGCGCGCGCGGTTGCGTATCGATGCATGCGCAGACGCACGACGAGACCCAAAGCCCCAACAATCCCGAAAGCCTAGGTCGTAGCAGAAGGCTAGCATTTTTGGAACCGAGCCCTTGGCCGTAGCAGTCGCTTTTGCCAAGCCTCGACTTCAGGCCTTGCCTGGACGTCTCCGCGTGTCGGCATGAAAACAACTCTAACCTAAACTCCCGAGAGTCATAAAAAAGATGGCCGGAACCCCGAAATAGGGAACCCCGAACCTGCAACAGGTAATTCGCAGGAAATTCCTGAGAACACCAACCCCCCGAACATCAGTGCGCTCGCCGAAATCGGAATCCTATAAACCCTTCCACAAACCTAAAACCCGGCTCCTGGAGTCCATGGGAGGACCCCTCGGGAGCCTCTGTCGAAGCAGCGAAACCGAGCCGGCACACGTGCGCTTCGGCAAAATAGCGAAGGTGCTCGGATTTAGGGTTTAGGGTTGCGTAGCCCAGGTGTAAGAGGGTTTATCTAGGGTTTAATGAAACGTTTCGAAGTTGGCAGGCCCCTGGACCCTAGGCCCTAAACCCATCTAAACCCCTAAACCCCAAAACCCCAAACCCTGAAACACCAAAACCCCAAAGCCCTGAAGCCCTAAAAGCCCTGAAGCACTAAAAAACCCTGAAGCCCTAAAGCCCTACGCCCTAAAGCCCCAAACCAAAGCAAGGACCCGAGGGCCAAGAAGGAAACCACAAATCCCAGCCACTCCCAGGCTGGCGAGCATCGACATGTCCAGGGCGGCTACGCGCCAGAGCGCAGATGCAAGGCAGCACGCGTTTTTCTGCGGCTGAGGGTTGGGATGTTGGGTTCTGATGGGGTGTGTGCTGCGGTCTTGATCGTGTTACATGGGGCTTTAGAATAGGGTTCTAGGGGCTCAACAAAGAATACCCAAAGCTTCGATCTCCAGGTCAAAATCCCGGACCCAAAGACGTCAAAACAGTCCCGCAAGTAGGCAGGGTTCCTGGGATTTTCTTCGCAAGAGCTTCGTAGTTACAGGACATTGGGGCCGCTAGGCCCAGGATTCAGCTTTCGGGTTTCGAGTGTCTCCTGGGAGGATCCTCCGTGCCTGGTTTTTCTTTTTTTTTGGTCGTGGGGGCGGCATGAGAGGTTTGTAGATCTTACACCATGCGACTTCGGGCTGCTTTCAACTAGGGTGCTTATCCCCAAAGCCCTGGCCCGATCGCTCGAGCCCCCAAAGCAGGTGATCGTTAAGGGGATTTGTGCAGGGGTGGTCAGGGTCTTTTCGGGGTTTCTTTGTTGGGGGTCTCCGGCAGGACGAACACGTCAAGGGCCGCCAAGGACTCAGCGTTTCAGGCCGTGGGTGACAGGTCCAGGTTCAGGGTATACGGCTTGCTTCGTGAATTCCAGTGCCTTCGTAGCATGGGGTTGAGAGCTTAAGAAGTTGTCGAAGCCGATGGGGTGAGCATGCAATTCTGAACAACTGGAGTAGGGGCGATTCCATTATGTGTTGGTTTATCGAGGAACCAGTCATTGATGGTCGAGTCGAGGCCCCATAAACCCCAAACCCTAGACCGGAGACCGTAGCCATCTTGTCTCAAGTCTTCGCTCAAACCTTCTGTGGCACTCCGGGGAGCAGCTCTCTACTAACAGTACTTGCCCGATAGAGCTTAACGGTTAATTTGTTTTGAGACTTCCAGCCCTTCTAGCTGCATGATGTTGAGCTTGGGAGCTGAAGGATGAGCATTGTTTCCCTCCAAACCCAGGAACCCACAGCCCGCACCCTTAACATCCCGAAACATCGGTTTGCAGCTCGATGCAGCGTGTCGTCGAGCCTAGCGCATGCGCCCAAAAGAGAGTACAGGAGGGATCCACACTTCCAGCAGGAGACGCCAACTTGGACGATCCCCTAAACGTCCATCAGTTGCTCGCAATGCTCTAGGCCTATGACTCCAAGACTCAAAACCGGAATCTCAGATGTCGAAGCTCTTTCAGGAGCGGTACATGAAGTACCGCTTGGCCTTGTTTAAAGCCTGTAAGCTTGTTTTCGGATTCATTTTCCAAACCCCGGAGCGGCTGGCAACTGCCCACGAGCTGGCTGCTAGGCTTGTTCCACAGACACCGTGTACACAGTGGCCGTCGTTTGAGTCTGAGTGGGCCAGAGCTGGCAAAACATGTTTTGATGAAAGAAGCTAGCATTGAGGTTCCATGGATAGCAAAGTCGGCACACAAATGTTGACCATTGGAAGTTGAGTTCAGTGCATGCACGTGGACAAGTGGAGGCTGATTTTTCGGGTCAATGATTGGCTGCGAGTGAAAGAGGTCAGTGAGCTCTGAAACCTCGACGAAGTTTCAACGTGCTCCGCCCAGCTTGGTTAGACCGGACATTTTGGGGTATCAATTGAATCCTAGAATGAGAACCCTTGGATGTCTGAATTAGGCTCAACATTTGACCGGTGAGTCCCGCTCAAGGACAGGTGTCAGGAGTTTATCTACCGGCTACTTTTGCATGTCGAGTGTGCCACAGTGCAGTTGTTTGGCTTGGGAGGGTGAAGATGAGCATCGTGCATCATCTGACTGGGAGTGCCTCCGGTGGTGGGCTGTGGTCCGAATGGTGGCGTGTTGGCAGTGTCAGATGTGTGACGGCACTTCGTCAGTGGATCTGCTGGACGAGTGCCCACTTTGTGGCGACGTGCAAGTGGATGTTGCGCACTGTTTCCATGTCTGTCCAGGAACTGAGCGCCTCTTCAACTCGTGCCTAGGCAGCCTGATGCCGAGGCAGATTGATGCTCAGATCTACTTTGCCGCCTTGTTCCATACCAGCGTGGGGCCGGCATTAGACTTGGCCCGGGCCAAGTATGTGGCTGCAGCTGTTCGGTTGACATGGAGCCTTGGAGAGACTGCGTAGAGCCCAGTAAAATGTGCGAAGCTTCGACTGGGCGGTTTCCCTGGGAGTAGAGCGCTACCCACGTATGCTCCTCCTGAGCGTTGTTGCCGGACTGGGCTTGAAGTGAAGCTATGAAGCTGTGATTGAACGGTGTTTTTGGGAGTACAAGATCTCAGTGCATCCCGAAGAGGACTGTGCGCATGTTTATTTTTGGACTACTCAGTGTCTTGGAAAACGGTTTGCGTGTACCACATGGTAGGTCTCACACCAAGAACCCAAATTTAGTCAGGCAGCTCGCCATGTATGTTGACCCGGTGTTGCGCTTATGAATCTCTGCTTGCCTGATTCAGATGTACGGGTTCCTCTCAGATCTGGAACCCCTAATGTAGAGTCAATGTAAAAGCCCGAATGTTTAGAATGCGTGGAAGTCATTCAACTTTTGATGTGTGTTGTCATAACTATAGTTAGGTACCAGTTAGTATCTAAGCAGACCATCTTCGTGTGAAGTGTCTCCGTGGCCTTTGCACTGAAACCTTTGAGCGTTAAACCTTAGTCAAAAAACAAGCTGAACCATGAAACCCTGAAGCCCTGAAGTTCTAACCCCTTAGACCCTGAAGCCCGGGAACGGCCAAAGGCGTTCAAAACAACACCCGAAAAACCTCAGCGGAGCGACTCAAGAGAAGGACACCGGCACAATGCGCCGGTCGGCTCCGGAGGCGGCTTCGAGCGCCTCGGCGGCAAATTTTGTTTAATTGAGAACCTGCACTACACAGCCACGTGGCGCATGTGTGATGGTGGATGGTGTGTTTGGTGTGTTGTGGTGGTGATGGCGGTGGTGGTGGTTAAACGAAAGGGCTTGTGCAACCACAAGCTTTGCGTTTTACAAACACAGCGCGCAAAAAGTGAAGAACCAATCTCCACACACCAACGCGCGGGCACAACAAGTGTAACATCTAGCATCATTTTATCAAAAGACTTGTGAACGCAGGTCCAAATTTGATCATGCAGGCATCATGAACCCCATCGCAAGACGTAACCATCCCTGCATATCCCTGTCTGCTACTTGTCCCCAAGCCCCAATGAGTGAAGTTCCTAAACATTCCTAAGCCCAATAGCTTAGGTCCGTACACCCTACATCCTGGAAAAAAGCCTTGCATCCCAACATCCCAAACCGCACAACAACAGGGGAGACCACGCCATCTGCAACCCACGGGGTCTTTCGGCCGCGCAGCGCAGCGCAGCTGCCGTCGGTGTGGCGGTGGTCGAGGTAAAGGGCCAGCAAGTGAATATGAAAGAACGAGTTCCATTCAGGATGTGTTTGACCGGTGTCGGGCCAGATCGAAGATTCATTGTGTTTTCGCAGTACTACATGTAGCTTACATGGGCCCTCGGCGCTTCAGCGTGTCTGGTGCTTGGCTTCGCGGTCGTATGCTACGGGAAGATGGGGGAGCCTGTTGGTACACATCTCATCTTGTGGGTGGCGTTTTGGAATCCTCTGACATTACCCAGGGCCCACGGTGCTATTCAGTTTTTAAGTATTCCCGCCGCTGCATGTTTCAGCCGTCGTTTACCACATTTGGAAGGATGCGTTGCATGCTCTTGCTAGCCATGACGCTGTGGACAGGTCCTGCGTGGGGTCAACCTTCAAAGCCGCATACCCTTAATAAAGTCCCGACACAACCCTGGAACCAGTAAAACTACCAATTAAAGCAAGACCAAAGAAAAACATTACAAAAATCTTGGCTTCTGCCCTGCAATATCAAAGCCAATGTTGTCTGACAGACGCCACCCGGTTCACCCGACGAATCGCGAAAAGAGTCAACGCCTACGACCAGTAACGGCCAAGCCATAAACGGGAAATGTAAAGTCTTTTCCCGAGGCTGGCAAACCTTCGGCAACAAGTCATAGTTCCTTTTTGAGGCTAGGTGTAAAGTACCCAAACCGAAGCCTCGACCACAGAAATCCGAATGCCTCAATCCCGAATCCTGAAACCCAAGACAGAGGCCTGAGGAATTAGTAGTCAGATTCCGTTGCAGTCCTTGTTTGACTATACTATTCTACACCCAAGGCTTATTCTCGTTGATAAGGCCTCTGAATCGAGCCCTAGCAACCCTAAGCCCTAAACCTTAGTCCCTAAAGTTAAAAAGCCCAAAGCCCAAACCCCAGGCCAAAAGCCCTAAACATCCCTAAATCCTAAACCCTGAACCCTAAACCCTGAACCCCTAAACCCTAAAACCCAGTACCTGCCATGCCTGCTTTGCGAGTGTGTGAGTCGAAACCCCTAAACCCCCAAACCCTAGACCCTAAACCCTAAACTTTCGTCTCCTGTTTCACGCCGACTTCGCACCATGAACCTCGCCTGGCTAGTCCGAGTTGTGAGAGCGTAAACCCCAATTTTCAGCCTGGAACCCAAGTTTTTCTGAGGCCTCCTGTGCCGCCCGTGCAAGTGCGGCCGGAGACCTGGTTGGGGTTAGGCTCTAGGGTTCAGGTTCTGTTCTACATGTCTATGATCCTGGTTCGTGGCAATACTCCGTCCTAGTGGTTCTATTCTAGATTTTCGAATTCAATTAACCCTTTCGAAGAACTAAGGCGCCTTCGAAGCCTTACAAAACCCTGGGCTATTAAAGCCTTTTAGATATCCCCCTTCAACCTGCTCTTGTGTGCCGGTTTGGCAGCAAGCACTTGATGCAAGGTGTATCGAGAGCATTGAATGCCCACATCGCAATTTCTATGTTGCTGGCTTGATTTTCCCGGAACCTCTACTTAGATGGGCATTGGACCCGATCTTTGGGTGAGGTGGTTGAATGCCAGTGCGTGCGCACCTGCGAATTGTAGCCAGTGCTGGTGTTCGCGACTGCTACATTGACAGCTTTGTTCAGTTCGTGCAAGTCGGTACTCTAAACCCGAAGACCCTTCGGCAAGTAGCCGACGACTTTTTTGCCGCGTGTGCTGATGTGGTGCAGAGTTCTTGGTGATTTCGCACAGCTAAAGCCCCAGTCTCTCTTGTGTAGACCCTCAGCTCTAGACTCTTGGCCCTCCTTACTTGCCTGGAGCCAGAAAGTTCCTTCTTTGGGAGGGCCTAGGGCAGCTTGAGCGTAAACCTGTGCCTGTACGAGGCAAAGCCATTCCAGGTCGAAGATAGTTGTAACTCTAGCCGGGGGGCTACGGCGACGAGAGTTTAGATTTTTGCCACGGTCATCATGATAATCCCATGGTACAATGATTCTTCGAGAAGCGATGCCTTCAGCTTTGCGCCGCCTCAGACACGAATCCCAAACGATCAGGAATTATAGATTCTACCCATATGAAATCCTCATGAGCCCACAGACCTCCTTAACAACTTTCAGCACAAGCCTCAAACACCAGTACAAGATGCTTGAGGCCGCTTCAACCGCAAGAGCGTGAGGCCGACCGGCTTCGATGTTGCTTCCCTGAGTTTATGGCCTCAGGGGTTTAGGGATTTGCGGTGTTTAGGGTTGAGTGAGAGTTTCAAGGTTTCTTTGTGTAGCTTTTAGCTTTGAAGGTGTCGGGTTGAGGCCGGTAGTCGTGCTCAGGACAGCGATGCAATTGTTAGTCACATTGGCGTGTGTGTTTGTGTGAATGAGTGAGTGAGTGAGTGAGTGAGTGAGTGAGTGAGTGAGTGAGTGAGTGAGTGTGTGTGTGTGTCTGTGTGTGAGTGAGTGAGTGAGTGAGTGAGTGAGTGAGTGAGTGATTGAGTGGGTGGGTGTGTGAGTGATTGAGGTGCGCTCGACCTGCTAAAGACGGAGCCACTCCGGCTGACAAGGTTAAGTACCACCTTTCGCCCCTCGTTCGGGAAAGTCTACATCACCGATGTTGCCCGTTAACCTGTCTTCAGGCACTCTACTCCGGCTTAAGCCAAGCTCCGACAGGGAGCCTCGCGTTCGGTCAACGCGGCCTGGTTTTGGTTTTGGGTGTTAGGGCTCTATCATGTGCTATACGATGGCTGGCTTCCATGTTTCCATAGTGTAGGATGTGCAGATGGAGGGTATGGAGTCTGATAGCCTTGGCGGCTGCGGTTTCGGTTGGGATAGTTAGGATAGTTTGTCGTTTTTCGGCTGTGGTACCGCTACTTTCTGAAAGACTGGTTCGGTTCAGCTTCAAGGAGGAGTAGTGTGAATCATTGAGAGGGCTTACTATCTTCCCGGCACCACCACCGACATATCTAGGGGATATGGGCATCGTTGCTTGCCAAGGGCAGCAGTCTTGGCATCAGCAGTGGGGGTAATCCCTTTGTGTGTCAGATTCGATTGAGCGATTCCTGAGTCTCTTGTCGGAGCGTCGTGAGTTGCAGGTATTTGGGTTTACGGTTTCAAACAGCTACTCCTAGGGGATAGAGATGTGCAAGTCAGTCCTTGCGAGCAGCGTCGCGGCATGCATGGTTCGTTCAGGCCAGCAGGTTCACTACCTCAAAAACCCCAGCTACCAAACGGCCCCAAACCCTCCGAACCCGTGTTGGAGGGGACAGTAGATGGTTTATTTACGCTTTAGGGTTTAGGCTGGATTATTTTTTGTGCAAAGCCAGACGGAATCGGCGGAAGACACGAACCCTTAACCCAGAAAGCTCCCCAAGTCCTACCCCCCCCCCCCCCACCAAACCCTTCGAACATTAGTGGTGCAACGATGTTTGGCTGCTGCTACATCACTACATAGTTGCCATCCAGGCTAGTAGTACATGTCAACTGCCTGATTTGCTGTTGTTCAGACTGTTGCTGTTAAGCACCAATTGATGTCTTGTGCTGCTGCCGCTCGTGTTGTTTTCCCCGTTCGTTTCGGTGATGTTGTTTGCTTGAAGCCTTGTTTCATTCTTGTCGATTTGTGAGTGATGCTGGTGTTTCTGGCACGAACGTTGCACCTACTGTCTCCCGTCGGCTACTTCCTTTTGTTTCCTCATCCGGTTTCAGTCTTTGTTGTGCGATGTCTTTGCCTTCAATACGCCGGGTGATGTTGCTAAATTACCAGGGTCACCAGCAATAGCCCCTCAAGCACCAGCATGAAGGGGTAGGAGTAGCATGAGCTGTCGTTCTGTACGGATGAGTCGATTTTTCCCCGAACGAAGCCCGAAGCGAACTCTCGAACGCCAAGCTAAGAGAGTCTAAAGAGTCGAAACCCTCCAGTTGTGAGAGTCGAAAACCTACTTTCAGCTTTGAGGCCAGAAGAGAAGACCCCTACACCCACCCAAACCTCACAATCTAAGTTTAAGCCCTACACACCCTACACCCTCAGCCCGAAACCCTCTACTTATAGCCAGGGAGATGTCTTCACGGAAGGAGACCTACCCCTCAAGGATCACCAGCCGAGCCCCTGGAGATCCGTGGGTTTGTCGGCTGAGGGATGCTGAGGGTCTAGTCTTTAAGCCTTGAGGCGAAGGGGTCTAGCTGTTAACAAACAGGGTTTAATGTAGGGGCCTTAATAATAATTAGAGTAGGGTTTTGGGGCCCATTATACTATAGTTATAATAAGGAACCCCCCAAAATAGTACCGGTAATTGTTCAGGCTCCTACATTAAGAGGAACAGGTGAGGGTCTTCGGGATCTCGGGCCTTAAGCTACGATGCAGAGCTTTTAGGTTTTGTGTTGTAGGATTTGAGGTTTTGGCCCGAAACCCGAAACGACAACTAGGACAACTCTGATACGTATTGCATTGGCACTTCGAAAAGGATGAGTCGCAAGTCGTTGTTTCGTGCTTTCAGTCTGTCTGGCTGGGCA